TAGACTTTTAGCCCTTAACCATTTCTGCGCCGCCCCGCCCTATAGCAGAAATACTACTACAGTGTGGTACGGGTGTGCAAAATCACGTATATATATATATATATATATATATATTATATATATATATGTCATGTTTCACATGACTGTCATATTGACTGTCATATGCCTTTAAATGCTTTCTATGTTTTGTCTCTGCTCCTCCCTTTCCTTTGGTTTAGTTAATGTTGCATAGACAGCCCTCCCCCTTTCCCAGAAATGCATTGCAGCAAGCCTCATGGCATGGAGCAAGAAACAGTATGATCTTTTGACCTATGGAATTTCATTGTTGTAAGATTCTCTCAGTTTATGGAATACACTTCACAAGATCTACAAGATGTCATTCTCATTGAGTCACTGACTGTGGTATCCAACTGAGGTTGAAGTTATCGCTATCTCATCACAACTGTAAGTTACAGAGATCACACTATCAATGCTTAGATTGGAGACACAGAACAATATGTGATTTTGCAGTTCAAGGTAGGGGGAGCGCGTGCCACTATTCGCGGCCTCGGCTGTCAATCACCGGGTCCTAGCGATTCCCCGTCGGCACCCCGGCGATCTCTGAGGATTTCCGACGGGGGAGAGACCTGTATGTAAACAATACAGATCTCTCCCCTGTCAGCTCCTGACCACTGCTTTGTATGGCTGTGCATAACACAGCCATACAAAGTAGTGTGCTTACAGTGAAGCACACCCACAGCACACATACTAAAACAGCATACAGTTAACCCTTTGATCGCTCCCACATGTAAACCCCTTCCTGCCCAGTGCCATTAGTACAGTGTCAGTGCTTTTTATTAGCACTGATCAATGTATTGGTGTCACTGGGGATGTCAGTGGCACCAAGTCAGTTCCTCCTACTGTCAGAATACCCACCGCAGTCCCGCTATAAGTCACTGATCGCTGCCAGTTAAAAAAAACATTTCCAGTATCTATACCGCCATTTGCAAACGCTTTACCTTCACATAAACAAATAAATTTACACATATTGGGATTTTTATTAGCAAAGACTTGGTCTAAATTTATGAAGCAATTTGACTATTTAAATTTTTTTACTAGATATGTTTTATAGCAGAAAGTATAAAATATAGTTTTTAGTTTAGTATTTCGGTCTTTTTTTTCGTTAATATCGCAAAGAATAAAAAACCCAGTGCTGATCAAATACCACTAAAAGAAAGCTCTATTTATGTGAAAAAATGATATAAATTTTTTTTTTCGGTAGAGCTTTACATGACAGCACAACCATTTTATTAGCAAAAAGTAAAAAATATTGTTTTTTTTTTTTTTCAAAGTTGTCGGTATGTTTTTGTTTATAGCTCAAAAAATAAAAAACGCACAGGCGATCAAATACCACCGAAAGAGATCTCTATTTGTGGGAAAAAAAGGATATAAATTTCATTTGGTTGCAGCGTTGCATGACCACGAAATTGTCAGTTAAAGTAACGCCGTATCGCAAAAAATGGCCTGGTCAGGGATGGGGGTAAATCCTCTGGAGGGCAAGTGGTTAAACCGTAGAGAGACCCACTACAAGGGTAGATTGTTTCCAATTGCTTGAGCTGAGCATTACCACGGTAAAGCATATATATGAGACTTTAGGTACAGGGCCTCTTCTGTACAGTTTATAACCCCAACCTGGTCCCTCTCTCTTCTCAAAGGCTTTCCACGGTCACTCAGATGTTAATTCTAAACAGCGAGGGCTTTAGTCAAAGATCAAATGTCAACGAAGCAGGGAATAGGGCAAAGTCATTGCAGAAAGAGAAAAAAAGCAAGCAGAGCTTCTTAAATTGGATTTCCCATTTGCAACCACTGAAACACAAGTTTATCCTGCTCTCCCGGCTACCAAGGAAAGCTTTGATTCATGGAGCAAATAGGTTACTCCCACAGGGACGTTCAGGGCATTGATGTAGCCTTTGTCTTGTTTCGGCATGAAAGATGGTTTCAATATCTCTTGGTGTGATCGTTATTCATCTTCCATTCTAGGAAACCTGGACAGGAAAAGCGCAGGTCAGACACGTCTCTACCCACCTACATGGGGAAACTATGATGTCACCATCAGGAGGTAATCTGATGTACTTAAAGTGTATCTATGGTCACAATGTAGAATCATTTCCACATTATATCTCAATTATTTCTAGCCAACTCCTATTCACCTGAATGAGCTTGAAGTTTGTAAACTTGGGCTCCATATACACGAGCAGCTCTGAAACTCGAGTTTAGGAGCTTTTGGCATTCTTGTGCCAAAGCTCCTAAACTCAACTCCATAAAAGCCTATGTGTCCATGCAGGGGCGTATTTACCACAAGGCAAACAAGGCACTTGCCTAGGGTGGCATTTTTCAGGGGGCAGCACCTCCCACCAGAAGAAGGGATGAAAGAAGGGACACGTGCACCATGGGAACCAGGTGGGATCTGAGAGAGGCTGCGGGCTGCTTGAAGGTATATATAGAGCTTGGCTCTTGTTCCTGGAGATGTCCGAAGCTGTGAAGATGAGTGTCTCTCTATCGCTGGGGGGGGGGTAGCGGAAGGCTCTACCAGGTGGGAGGGTTAGCGGAAGGCTCTACGGGGTGGGGGGCAGGGGTGTTGTTGGTCAGGCTCTCTCAGCGGGAGGGGGAAGGGAGGTGGTGTTGGTCGGTGTCTGTGGGGGCAGATGAGTTTTTGTGTTGCCTAGGCAGCACAAAACCTAAATACACCACTGTGTCCATGTACCCCTACCATGGGTGTCAAACTGACGGCCCTCCAGCTGTTGCCAAACTACAAGTCCCATGAGGCATTGCAAGATTGACAGTTACAAGCATGACTCCCAAAAGGCAGAGGCATGATAGGACTTGTAGTTTCCCAACTCCTGGAGGGCCGCCAGTTTGACACCCCTGACCAGGGGCGGACTGAAAACTCATGGGGCCCCCGGGCAATAGGAGATCATGGGGCCCCTGTGTCCTTGCCCAAACTCAAAAAAGCCTATGAAAAAGGTACCAGGGGCATCTCATGGGGCCCCCTACTTGACCCCGGGCCCTCGGGCAGTGCCCAAGTTTCCAAATGGTCAGTCCGCCCCTGCCCCTGACCTAGGCTCAGTGGCATCCCTAGGGGGGTGGGCTGCGCCGTGTGACACCATCACAGGGGGTGCAGGAGTAAGATGCCATCAGAGCTTCTGGGCTCTGTGAAGGTCCTGGCCAGTTATTGGGGTGATCCCGGATTCCCGGCACAGTGACAGTGGCTGTCCCCGGTGAAGCGGTAAAATGAGTATCCCGGACCCCTGAAGATATGTATCTCCTGAAGCAACTGCGCATGTGCCGGTTTCAGGCCGATCTCTGACTTTAGCACAGAGCTGCCACAGTTAACCCCTTACAGGCTGCAAACCGCTGAAGCTGATCCCGCGGATCAGTATGGGTTGCAAGATCAGTTAACCCCGTATAAATTCAACCTACATGAGGTTAACTGATCTTGCAACCCATAGTGATCCGTTAGATCGGCTTCAGCAGTTTGCAGCCTGTAAGGGGTTAACTGTGGCAGCTCTGTGCTAAAGTCAGAGATCGGCGATCGGCTTCTTCGGCCTGAAACCGGCACATGCGCAGTTGCTTCAGGAATACATATCTTCACGGGTTGGGATACTCCCTTTTCTGAATACGGAAGAATTGCGTTCAGGATAGGAACGTGTTGACCGCTGGCTGCGGGAAAATGCAAAACGCGGGCAACTGCGCGGCATTTTTGCTGCGATTTGCATTTCCCCACGTGGTCGGAGGTCAGAGTAGGCTCCTGTACATGAAGCCTTACTCTGTGAAAACACCCACATATTTCCTTCCTTGAATTCTATGACACGTTGTCACTAATGTCCTGTGAGTAGGCACTGCTGTGTCACACATTTCCCAGAGCCCGCCATCTGATCTAAAGATGTTCTAAGAGGAGGAGTTTCAGGAGGCGGAGTCAGTACAGGAATCACTGCTTGTAGGGAGCAAGGTACCATGGGATATGTAGTCCTTAGGAAATGGGGAGAAGCTGCAAAGCATGCTGGGAATTAAGGAAGTTGTGGAAAGAACTGGCCAGCAGACAGACAGCGTTCACAACATGAAAGGGGATATTTCAAGTAAGCTCATATTGGATTGTCAATAATATCCATTGTTTGTGTTGGTATTACAGTGCTGATGTTATAAAATAAAAGTGTATGCTGTGACCATAGAACTGCTTTAGGCTCCATGCAGAATAGCGTTTTTTTAAGCTCCTAGAGCTGTTATCAGCATCATTTTTTCTGCTTCTAAACATATCCTGTGTCCATGCACACTACTTTAGACTATTAAGATTTTTTGAGCTTCAGCATCTAGGAGCAGAAAAATAAAATGTTTTTGTAGTGTTTTTCCAGCAGAAATAAAAAACGTTAAACACTCCTAAACACTGCTAAATGCTACTAAAACACTCCTAACAGCTTTTTTTTCCTCTACATGTACTGTAAAAATGCTACTAAAACGTTAACGCTCCTAAACGCTTCTGAGCGCTACTAAAATGCCACCAAAACACTATTACCAGCATTTTTTTATCCAGTGTTTTTCCCAACGGTTTTTGAGCTTTAAAAAAAATGCCTTAGGCCTCATGCACACAGGACTTTTACAGCTGCTCCTAGGGGTGTCTGGCATTTTTTTTCCTGCCTCTAAACTCTCCTGTATGTTAGTCCATGCACACATAGGCTTTTAGTAGCATTTAATAGCAGAAGAGTTCAGAGGCAAGAAAAAAACCCATTGCCAGAGTGCCCAGGAGCAGCAGAGTTTTGGCAGAAAAAAAATGCTAAGCGCTGCTAAATGCATCTAAACGCGTCTAAACGCTAGACCAGATATAGTGAATGCAGGGTCCGGGGAGACCAGATATAGTGAATGCAGGGTCCGGGGAGACCAGATATAGTGAATGCAGGGTCCGGGGAGACCAGATATAGTGAATGCAGGGTCTGGGGAGACCAGATATAGTGAATGCAGGGTCCGGGGAGACCGGACATAGTGAATGCAGGGTCCAAGGAGACCGGATATAGTGAATGCAGGGTCCTGGGAGACCAGATATAGTGAATGCAGGGTCCGGGGACACCGGATATAGTGAATGCAGGGTCCGGGAGAGCGGATATAGTGAATGCAGGATCCGTGGAGACCAGATATAGTGAATGCAGGGTCCGGGGAGACCGATATAGTGAATGCAGGGTCCGGGGAGACCAGATATAGTGAATGCAGAGCAGGGGCGAACTGATCATTTGGAAACTTGTGCACAGCCCGAGGACCCGGGGTCAGTAGGGGGCCCCATGAGATGCCCCTGGTACCTTTTTCATAGGATTTTTGAGTTTGGGCAAGGACACAGGGGCCCCATGATCCCCTATTGCCCGTGGGGCCCCATGAGTTGTCAGTCCGCCCCTGATGTAGGGTCCTGGCTTTAGTAACACTTTAAAGTGGAAATTCACTCAATAGATGCACTAGCCAGACCCCCTAACTTTAGATCAATGGTGGGCAACTAGTGGACCAAGATCTCCCTTCTAGCGGGCTACCATTTCTCTCAGCTCTTACAGCCACTGCTAGTACTTTGTGCTTCAACACGCTCACTCCCCAAACCCACTTCCCTCTCGACCACAGCAAACAGGAAAAAGACACCGACCGCTCCTGCTGCTAGAAAGCAAATGAAGGGCCACGCATGTGCAGTGTACCCTATAGGCCAGATATGGGTAACCAGGGCATAGGGGGAGGGTGGAGATTGGTCGCACCTCAGACCGCAGCTACATCAAGAGTGAGCAACTGCAGAGGTGGGCTCAGTACCATTTCTTGGAAGTGAGGGTCCATTCACACCACTTATGTTGTGTTGAGATAACGTGTGCAAAATGCAGGGTGAGTCCCAATACACCTCTAAAACCTACCAGCCTGCCTCAGATTCTGTGTTATGGTGTATTTCAACCTACTCTTCTTATTGACCGACCTTCAGAACACGACTTTCTAGTGTGAATGGGCCCTAATGGTAACTTCTGAAACTTTTTTGCTAGCAAACAAAGGGACCATTCTAGAGCATGCATTATCCCGCATCGTGTCGCATGTTAATGTGCATTGTGATCATGCAGAACGTTCAAACTAATGGGACCAGAATGGGAGAAAATCTGAACATGCAGCATTTTTTTTCCAATGCAGCACTATGCTCTACTGTGCAGTGTTGGGTTGGTGCGTTGGAGTGCCATTCAAAGAAAAGGACTCCATAAACTGCTCATGCGCATAAGATGCTCCCGCTCCTTGTTGCAATGCATCATGGCACCAAAGTGCAAACGGTCCCTCAGGGGCGGACTGACAACTCATGGGGCCCCCGGGCAATAGGGGATCATGGGTCCCCTGTGTCCTCGCCCACACCCAAAAAAGCCTATGAAAAAGCCAATGAAAGCTACCAGGGGCATCTCATGGGGCCCCCTACTGACCCCGGGCCCTCGGGCAGTGCCCGAGTGCTCGAATGGTCAGTCCGCCCCTGCGGTCCCTTACACCCGGTCACATCAAACCGTACTTTGAAATTGTGCGACTTACAGTGAAATTGCATGATATCAAAGTTGGGTGAGTTGCCAATTCCAGGGGAAATTTGCAAGACATCTGGTACAGATTTTTTTTTTTGTTGCTAGGCAGGTTAAAATACATTAAAAATGGAGCAAAAATGCAGCAAAAACACACTACATGCTTTTATGCAGCATTTCCTGTAGAACCAAAAACACAACTTTTTGCGTTTAAAAAAGTCCCTGACCCTTTCCAAAATACGCACGGGGTGAAAACGCAGAGATGTGAACCTGCCCCATAGGAAATCAGGTTAAATGGACTATAGTGCATTTCTGAAAAATGCGGAAAACGCTTAGGTGTGAACCTGGGGTAAGGGTAGATTTAGACATGCATCTAAATCTCCCTTGCCTCTGATGCCTGGTCCGCATCCGGATCGCGCTCCAGAGGCTACTGGCAGGTGCTGGGGAAGGACCCCCTTTTTGTCAATGTACCTAAACCCTAACAATCACGTCTCTTTTTTGGTTCGTTTTGGTCTATTTAAATATACCAATGAAAGTGTTTTCTTTTCTCTGTTTGAGAAGTTAAACCTATTGATCCTCTCAGAAATCTTGTGAGCCAATAATTTCCTGCACTCTCTGCCTGTGCTGACTGTTATCAATTACATTGTTCTCAGCTATCTCAGAACTACATGGTGCTACAGAACCAAGCCCCTCTATGTTTATAGAGAAGCAGAAAGGGTGAGATTTTGTAGTCCTATTTTGTTTCTGCTGTCCTAATACAGAAGAGCAAGTGAGGATTGTCATCCTAGGACAGGAAGTGTGTTACAAGTCGGATTGCTGAAAATAAAAGAAGAAATGCGTAAAAAAAGGAACGCAAATGCAGCCAACATTTCTAAGGCTGGTACACTGCGATATACAAAAAAAATTGCATATGGGTTTAGATTTTAAAACAATTATTCGTGCACTTTAACCACTTCCTGGCCTCCCCCAATATACCATGGACAGGCAGCCACTGTAGGCAAAGCAACTTACCCGTACGTCGTTGCCTATTTCCGGGTTTAGGGCATGATTGGACACAGTGGAATCTGTCAGCAAGTCTCATCCAATGGTTCACAGCTGGGACCTGCTGATCGGCTGTGTGCAATCACAGCCCAGAGCTCTGTGCTGACAATCAACACAGGACTCTGTACAGAGGGAACAACCTTTCTCTTTCTCATCCCAGGGAGGAGAAACTTAGAGATCTGTTAGGAAAAGCAGCACACTTATTACAAATAGTTAGGCACACATTTAACCACTTGCTCACCCTAGGTGTTAACCCCTTCCCAGCCAGTGTCACTAATACAATAACAGTATATAATAATATCACGGATCACTGTATTAATGTCACTGGTGCTGTCATTGGCAGTTAGTCAGTCGCCCCCCCCCCGGCGTCAGTTATTGTCAGATTGCCCGCTGCACTATCGCAGTCCCGTTATAAGTTGCTGATCACTGCCATTAGTAGTATAAAATAAATGAAAAAAATACAAATTCCAGTATACACGTTCTGCCATAGTTTACAGTAGGCACTATAACTTTCACACAAACCAATCAGTTTGGGCTTTTTTTTTTCAGCAAGAGACGTGTAGCAGAATACATTTTGGCCAAAATTTATTAAGAAATTTGATCATTTACATTTTTTTATTGGATATGTTATATAGCAGAAAGTATAAAATATAGTTTTTAGTTTAGTATTTCAGTCTTTTTTCGTTAATATCACAAAGAATAAAAAACCCAGTGGTGATCCACTAAAAGAAAGCTCTATTTATGTGAAAAAATGATAAAGATTTTGTTTGGGTAAAGCGTTACATGTCAGCACAATAATTTTATTTATTTCAGGTACTTATATAACACCATCAATTTACACAGCGCTTTACATTTATTATACATTTACATCAGTCCCTAACCCTCAAGGGGCATACAATCTAATGCCTCTAACTCACATTCATACATACACATACTAGTGTCAATTTAGACAGGAGCCAACTAACCTACCAGCATGTCTTTGGAGTGTGGGAGGAAACCAACGCAGGCACAGGGAGAACATGCAAGTAGTGCCGTGGCTGGGATTTGAACCAATGACCTTAGTGCTGCCAGGCGGAAGTACTAACCACTTAGCCACTGTGCTACCAATTGCCAGTTAAAGTAGCACAGTTGTAAATAGCAAAAAATGGTCTGGTCTTGAAGGGGATAAAATCTTCTGGAGCAGAAGACTAACTCCTATTTCAGACCCAATGGGGTTTATTTACTAAAGCTGGAGAGTCCAAAATCAGACTCCCTTCTGCATAGAAACCAATCAGCTTCCAGGTTTCATTGCCAAAGCTTCATTGAACAAGCTGAGGTTAGAAGCTGATTGGTTTCTATGCAGAAGGAAGTCTGATTTTGGACTCTCCAGCTTTAGTAAATAAACCCCAATATGTCTCGTCTCCCCCCTCCTTCCCCAACCCTGCAGGCTCCCTTGCATGATATATATATATATATATATATATATATATATATATATATATATATATATATATAAAAAGAGTACTGCTTAAATCATTAAATCGTGACCTTCCTGAAGACATCTGGAAAAAGAAAGTATATATATATATATATATATATATATATATATATAGTATATATATATATATATATATATATATATATATATATACTTTCTTTTTCCAGATGTCTTCAGGAAGGTCACATGATTTAAGGAGTACTCTTCACTTCTTCTCCAATGGTGGGCAGTCATTGATGATGCAGAAGGTCATCACATCAGCACTGCTCTCTGTATCGTCATACAGAGAGTGCAGAGCATTCTGGTGTCCCCTCAGTGGAGGGCCCATAATGCCCCCCTGCACTCACAGGATGTCCTCAGTATTGTTTTATCTGAAAGACTGAGGACATGGTGTGGTAGGAAGGAATTACTGTGGGGGCAGCTCCGGAGAGAAGTTGAATATTGCAGCTGGAGCTGAGGGTGAGGGGTCATTTAAGAAAAGTTGGCTTTTGAGTATTATTTTTATTTTTTATCTGTCTTGCACATTGTGTTCTGAGATAGTTTGTATTCCCCAGTTCGACACTGCAATGTCTACAACGTGTGTTGTACAATGAAGTAAAATGCTAACAGTACATAAATAAAAGGAAACCCCCCCAAAAAAGAGAAAGATATTATTAGAAAATGTCCCAGTAAAACATCTGGAATGGCCAATCATGTTCACACACTGGATGATTTTCTGGAAAAACTCTGAGACCTCCTGCAGGCAGCATAATAATCAGAAACAGGCCGACAGTACGGTCTAATTAAAGCCATCGATCAGATTTTGGGGATCAAGGTGCTTTAAGATCAAAGTGCCTTGTTACTGATTGTTGAGAAAACATCTTTCCGGGAATAAGAGAGTATATGAAAACCGGGCTCATTTGCAGACGCGTTACAATAAATAAGATTTTAGCACTGAACCGACAAAATAAAAACAGGTGCATAAATCTGAAATGGGTTTTTTTCTGCGTATGTGCACTTATAATTTTTTAACTTACTTATGAATTTCTCCTATCCCCCCCTTGTTATCTTTTTCCTTTAAAGAGACCCTGGCACTGAACAATACAGAAAGTATTTTAATTGTTTTCTTGCTGCGTTTTTTCCTTACGAAAATTATTTTTTATATACACTTGCAATGTGCTTTTAAGCTTGCTGGAAAAATTGACTACTCTAGGAATATTCAATGCCTAGCAAAGCCCCCCTCCCTTGCACACCCTAGCCCTGTCTTCTTTTGAGAATATCTACTGTCTGTGCTGGTCCAGCTGCTCCATTCCATTTCTCACCTCCCTACATAACCGT